GGGACTGAGGTGAGGCTGACTGGTCCGTAGTTCCCTGGATCCTCCTTCTTCCCTTTCTTAAAGATGGGCACTATATTTGCCCTTTTCCAATCATCTGGGACCTACCCCAATTACCATGAAATTTCAAAGATAGTGGCCAGCAGCTCTGAAATCACATCAGCCAACTCCCTCAGGACCCTTCACATCCCTGCTCGCTGCAACTCCAACTGCGCTTTGGCCTTCCTGACTTTATCCTTGCATGCCCAAACAATATTCTTATACTCTTCCCAAGAAGCTTCTACTTCTTGTAAGCTTCCTTTTTGTTTTTAAGCTCACTGAAGAGGTCTCTGCTAAGCCAAGCTGGTCACTTGTCATATTTGCTACTCCATCCTGCACATCAAGATGGTTTGTTCCTGAGCCCTCAGTAAGGTTTCTTTAAAATACAACCAGCTATCCTGGGCTCTTTTCCCCCTGAGACTGGCTTCCCAGGGGATCCTGCTCATCAGTTCCAGAGGGTGTCAACATCTGCTTTTCTGAAGCCTGGGGTTCTTACTCTGTTGCTCTTTTTTCTCCTTTTATGATCGTGGACTCAGTCATCTCATGGTCACTGCCCCCCAACTTGCCATCTACTTCTACATCCCCCACCAACTCTTCCCTGTTTGTGAGCAGTAGGTCAAAAAGAGCATGACCCCTAGTTGGTCTCTCCAACACTTATACCAGGAAGCTGTCTCCAAAGCTCTCCAAAAACTTCCTGGATTGCCTGTGCACGGCTATATTGCTTTCCCAGCAGATGTTAGGGTGATTGAAGTCTCCCATGAGAACCAGGGCCTGTGATCTGGAAAATTCTTGTAGTTGTCCGAAGAAAGTCCCATATACCACATGCTCCTGGTACACTGGTCTATAGCAGATGCCCACCACATCACCCTTGTTGCTCTCCTCTCTAACTTTAACCCAGAGACTTTTGACAGGCATATGTCCACTTCCATACTGGTGCTCTGAGCAATTATATGGCTCTTTTACATACAGCCCAACTCCTCCACCTTTTCTCCCCTGCCTGTCCTTCCTAAACCGTTTGCACCCATCCACGACAGTGCTCCAGTCATGAGAGCTATTCCACCAAATCTGTTATTCCAACAACATAATAGTTCCTTGATTGTGCAAGGATTTCCAATTCTTCTTGCTTGTTTGCCAGGCTCCATGCATTCGTGTACAGACACCCGAGGTGAAGAGCCAATTGCCCTACTTTCTCAGAAAGAATGTTGTCCCTCCTGCTTCTGCTTCCTCACTACCTCACTTACCTCAGGGCTTTGTTCTCCATCCTCCAGCAGGCCTTGTTTAAAGCCTCCCTCACTAGGTTAGAAAGCCTGGCTGCAAAGATGCTTCTCCCTCTTTGTCAGGTGGATCCCACCTCTCCCTAGTAATCCTTCATCTTGGAACAACATCCTCTGATCAAAGCTGCATCCCTGCTGGCGACACTACCTGTGCAGCTAATATCACAAATCTAGTGTTTATGTAATATCACATGCTCAGGTAGCATTCTGGCATTGCTTCTTTGATGCCAATGCTTTCAATCTGTTGGATTGTAGAGATGGAATTCTATTACCCTTTACATACTCACATGGCAGTTTTCCAGCTACCTAACTGGCATTTCTGCCTCTTAGGGACAGTGCACCATTCTATTACTTGTGGAGCATAGACAGCATCCACTGGACTATTGGGTACAAACAGTAGGCTACACCCTACACCCTGGATACACCTATATGCCAAGTAGGCTGAGCTGAGCATACAGGGGGGAGGGAAGTGGCCTTTTTGTGTTTTAGCCCCAATAGCCGAGTGGCTAGATCATGACTAGATCTGGAGCTGAGCACAAGGGCAGAACCATGGACAGAGCCCACTGAAATATAGGTGGACCCACATGCAGAACCTGAAAGAGTAAGCAGTAATCACAGGTGTTAATGCCAGAAGAACCACCCAGAGCCCTGAAGTCATGCAGGCCAGCCAAACAGGTGGTAGTACTGTAGAATAAGAACAGGAAGGACTCAGTTCATATGATCCCTACCTCCCCTATCTAGAGCAAAACTAGGGCACCTGAGCCAATAGGTGCTGGATCTGCAGAGGCACTTCTGTAAAGATGGCAGCAATGCCAAAGAGTTATCAAGGTGCTTTCTTGGAACTTCTTCTGAAATAACAAAGAAGCTACTAGAGCCAGTTGATGGAACCAAAGTATTTGCACTCGAGTTTAAAATGAGCTTAGGTATATTATCTTCTCAAGCCCACAAAGACTGGGACCCAGAAAGAGAAACAGAGGAAAAATGTTCGAAGTTGGCCAGAGCTGTGAGCTCCAGTGTCTGCAGAATTACTTGCAGGCATTGCAATTTTAGCAGACTCACAGCTTTCTAAAAATAAGTGTTAAGGGAAAGGACCACAACATTTTGAAAGCTTAATAATTATAATGCAAGACTCACTACTTATTAAAAAATACAAAGAAATAATAGACGAAACAAAACAAAATCTAAAACCAATCCACTTCTTTCCCAAATGACCCTAAGGTATCTAAAGCCATACTAATACCAAAGCCAGCAAGGACTAAACTGTGTGCCACAAGATAGAGATATAAATGAAGCAAAGTCAAACTAAACTGTGGATATTATCTCATACGAAGATAAGTGGGGTGTTTATGTTTCAGCATTTTGAGGGAGAGAGGTTGAGGGCAGGGACTGCAGGCCCAGGTAATATTAGATGAGAAAGCTTGGGAGTGGACCTTAAAAGAGAAAGAGAGCGTGCAGCAAGAGCATGCAAGCGAGCGAGTGGAAGAGCTGAAACCAGGCATAAAGAACAATGCCTTGCTCAGGGACTTGAACCAAAGAACTGAGCTAGACTAAGGCAGCCCACTGAGGGCAGACTCCCTATACTGATATCATCAAAAAGCATGGCATGTGAAGACAGGGCAGCAGCCTGGGAGACCAGAGTGTTGGGCATGATTGGTGTAGCTTAAGGGGTGCCATGGCCACCTTCACAGACACAGGTCCTGTCACAGACACATCCACAGATTAAGTGGCAAAAATACAGTTGGTAAAACAAACCTTCAGTCTTAGACACAAGGGGGACCCACTTAATAGTGGAATACAAACAGGAATAAGCACTTGAAGATGGCCTTTGATAACGATATATTCCTGCACTATACATTTCTCCCCTATGCAT